AAACTGTTGTTTTTTTTAACTAAAAATCAATTAGTCCACATTTACAGTTAAATGCTTTTACTTACGACCTAATATATTTAGAATAAAACGTCACTTAAACAACATCAAAAGATAATTTAAATATTCCAAAAAATATAAGTTTTTGCGTAACGCAAAACTGCTGAATACATAGGCAAATCTCCTTTTCGCTTGTAAAATGCGAGCAGCATAATGTTTCTTAACAAGGCCTGATATTCTTAAAACAATTTATACTAGAAATCTCAAAACTTTAAAAAATCTTGAATAATATAATTTTTAAAACATTTCAACAGAATTCTCTAGAACTTTATTTCGCTTATTCAGCGTATTTTTTGAACCAATAGAATTAGTTTGTTTGTAAATTTGGCAGGTTTTTAGCATTAGCGAATATTCTTTTTCTTCTTCCACGCCAAGATATTTTGAGAACCTTCAATTTTATATATGTTTCCATGTATGCATGTAAAACAAAAAAATTTTGTTTCACAGACATACATTAGTTTAAATGTTCTTAAAATGACTAAAAAACCAGTTTTTCGTAACTAAATATTATTTCCGTGGTTAGTATTCAAAACCGATCGCTCCTGCTTCCCTACCAAGCCTGTTTATGTTTTATTATATAAAAAAATCATAACCAAGCCTTCCCAGGAAGCGCGTGCAGTCACACGCCTTGTTCCTCCAAGTGTAAAATCACTTTTTGAGACAACTTGACTACGTTTTTACATATTAAGCGTTTTAAGAATTAGAAAATAAAGCAGCAATTCCCAAGAAAGGAAACAAATACTTTACAAAATAGAAAATCTAAATAAAATAAACTAAAAAAAAAATTGAATGTTAAGAAAATAAAAATTTTGTCAAAAAAAAATATACCTAAATATTTTACTGTTTTTGTTTTCTTTTCTTTTTTTAGAGCATTTGTAATTTTCCATCACCAAATTTGGTACAAGTTGAGAAAGAAAGCAAATAATAATATAAAAACATTTTTGATATATGATTTATTTGCAACTTTTGTCTGTCAGTATATAAAGCAAATACTTTTTTTTTTTTTGCGCTAGAAATACAGACAATTATGCTAAACTTTACTTTTTTAATCAGTGCACATCAAAGCAAGAAAATTAATTGCTATTTATTAGTAAAGTTTTTTATTTTTAAACCAATTTTTTCATGTAAATAATAAAAAGTCATTAATACTAATGTTCAAGTATAAAATATTCGGTTGTTTTCACTACCTCAGGCCTTGCAATAAACCGTCGGGTGATGTGAGTTTTATGTCGTCCAAGGGCGATTTTGCGTGTAGCTAGGGTTATTTGCGTCGAGCAAAAAAATTTTTTTGTTTGAGTATATTTAAAGATATTTTTTGAGCGGAATTTTAATGAAGTAGTTTACGATTATTTTAACATTTGATAAAGTATTTTAAAAACTGCACACAGTTGATATAAAAGTTTGAATTGCAAAAAAATTAAATATGCTCATTATTTACAAGTAGAAAAAATTCAGATTAAAAAAAAAGTTTGAATCTTTTTAAGTTAACATTTTAATAAAATTATTCAGCAATAGCAAAGTTGTCAATAAAATTGAACAAAAATACTTTTTTTTAGTTTTAGATTTTTAACTTAAATAATTATTTTACGGGGGTTTGTTAGGTTTCAAAATTATTCCATAGATTTAAAAATATTTATTAACTATTAGACGTATTTAAAGTATTTAAGAGTAATTTTGAGGAAACATTTTAAAAATTGGTAAGCGCAAATAAAAAAAAATAAAAGGATTAATATTAAAACGTATTCTACTTGATTCAATAAAAAAGTACAGTTATTAAAATTTTTGTAAAAAGTAACTAAAAAAAATTACTTAAATAATAACTATCGCTTTTTTGTTAAAAGTTACCAAAACTCAACGAAGCGTGCTCAAGAACAGTTGCTGAAAAATAGAATGTCAATAGTTTGATAAGTTTATATAACCTGGTTTTGTTACCCGGTTTCTATCGATGTAAAGCGAATTTTCACAAACACCCTAAAAAAGGCTCAATAAACAAAAAAATTAAAATAAAAATTAGTTCTTATATTTAACCACGTAATGTTTTCTTTTTTTATTTTAGCGCACCTTTTATTAAATATTGTTCAATATGCAAATTTTTTTGCTGAAATATGTCTTTTATACCTATAAGATTTTTATTCTAACATTTTATTTTATTTAACCAAAAATAAAATTCCTTGTAAACATTAAAAATCTATTCAAAACGTTTGTTAAAGATTTTTCGTAATACGAGTGATTGTGCTTATCAACCGCTTTATGAAAATAAATAAAAATAAATAAATAAAAAAGTATTATATAAAATCGCTGGTAAAAATATTAGCTATTGCACAGTTTTTAATCGTACAATATTAAAATTTCCAGTTTATTACTCGCTGACTTTTTAAAAAGAAAAAATAATTATTTGAAAAACTTTAAATTACATATTTGAGGAAAAAAAAATCAAATATTAGCATATTTTATAATCTTTTTTAAATGTTTAGTTATGTTTTTTATTCGTTTAGTATAGACAAAAGGTGTCAAACGTTGAGAAAATAAACAAATGTTTTTACATTTTAAAAAAGGAAACATTCCAAAATATTTTTAAATAACATTTCTGCATTAATGATTTAAAGTAGTTTTGCGGCAATTAAGTAAATTGGTGCAGTTAATGTCGATAAATATGAAAAGCAAATAAAAAGAATTTAATGACGTCAAAAATCGCGTCGTGCTTATGTGTCGCGCAGTTTTTATTCATCACAAGGCCTGCTACCCCCATAGAAATAGTTTATACTTTCAATGAATTCTCCAAATTGTGCATTTAAACTTGATATTTTATTTCCTGATGAACTATTGTTATTGACAATACTCAAAAAGCTTTTGAGCTAGTGCATTGATAATTTACTGAACTTTTTTAACAAAATCTTCAGGAGTTTATTTAAAACTTTTTTTTAATTTTTTAATTTTTTTTCAAACAACTTTATGTTACGTTCGTTATCTAGTAATTCGAATTATTGTTGGAAATCGAGAAATATAAAATAAACAATTTCAGACATGCACCAAATGTAGTAAATACATTAATAAAAGAAACCATGCTATTCATTTATTTAATTTCTTCTGTCATTACAAAATTTATTGCAACGTAATAAAAGGAGAGCTTTGAAAAGCAAAAATCAGATTAGAATGTGTGAGAGATAAGAAATGAGTACTAAACCTATTACAAAATCAATAAAAACTGTTCAATCATGGAAATACAATTTTCTTGATCATGAAGTAATAAATGCTAACAATTGTAGGCACCTGTAAAAATATGGTGTAAACTAAAGCATAAAAGCGCCATTCCAAGCAAAACTTCAATATTATGGTCTACTAGAAATTCTTTAAATACTTTTTCAAATGGAACTAATGTTGTAACTCATCATGTTTAATATTTATAATATAAAAAATGTCAAGTGTAATATAATAAATGATATAATAAATGTAATATAATAAACCTCAAATAGAAAAAATCTCATATCTAGCAAAAACATTTTTAAAAGTAAAAAGACCTTAAAACGTAAGAAAAAAATCTAGAACTAGATTTAATACCATAGAATTATGAGAAAAAAGTTTCTCATAGTTCTATGGTATATAGCAAATTAGTTTCTTAATATAAAGACTGATAAGAATCGTGAATAAATTGCATATCAAAACTTTCAATTGTTATAAATTAAAATTTGTTTTTTTCCTCAATTTGTATCAATTTTTGTAGCTAAAAATAACAATCTTCCTAAAAAAAAATAACAATCATTCTAAAAAAAAATAACAGTCATCCTAAAAAAAAATAAGTCATCCTAAAAAAAAATAACAATCATCCTAAAAATCTCTTCTTTTAGTATTTTTTTTTCTCTCAGTAAATAAGTTAAGCTTTTTGATGCAAATTGCCGTGGTCAGTGGGTCTAAATAATTTATTTTAAATGGGACTACATGTGCTTCCTGTTAAACCTTGCATAACTGTCAAAAACATTACCAAAGTTTTTTTTTTGTGTGTGTGTGGTTAAATAGATAGCACTATTTAATCTCAGTGTTTCAAACTGTCAATGCAATGGATTTATAATATTTCATGTCTGTAAAACTTTTTTTATTTTTATTAAATTCACCTTCTCAAGGGTCCAGAGAGGGCCATTTTAGCTGAGGAGGCTACTCGCTTATTTTTTTTATTTGAAACTAATTTCAAAAATATGAATCTTAAATCAGGTTGCTATGCAACAAAACAGCTTAAACGCAATACTTCTGGAGGTGGATTTGAACCTCAAACCTTAGGGTTGCTAACTGAAAGTTCTACCACTAATATTCTACTACCATATAATACTTGGATAATAATAAATTTATAACAAAAGATTGCGATTAAAAGATCTTTAAGTATACTTTAAATTGTTTCTCTTCCTATTTGTGAAGAAAAAGTTATCAACATAATTTAAAAATCCTCATAAAAAGGAAAGTGAGAATTTGCTTTGTTTTTAGTTTTCAGTTAAGATTAAATCATTTTTTAATGTTAAAAAATTGAAAAATGGTTGACTGTTTTTATACTGGAGGTTTTTTTAGTAAGGTTTACAATAATCCCTCATAAGTTTTTTGGAGGCCTGCACACACCCAGTAATCCAACTATACAATGTATCATACTTTATATACATTCATTACTTTTATCAAACAAAATATAAATAGTAACAGAAAACTTACAATTTAAAATTTGACTTTTTACAAAATGTCTTACCTGCGGTAATAAAATTTCTTTTAATTTCTGTTTTAATACATCATACTCTTAATATAAGTTTTAAATATTTGTACAATATTATATGTAGTTCATCTATTATAAAATGTACTTTGAGTTCTTTTAACATGCCTAATATACATACATATGTGTGTATATATATATATATATATATATATATATATATATATATATATATATATATATACATTGTTATTAATAGGATTATTATGAAATTACAAAACGACCTATGGACTTTGGCACTATTAAAAAAAAGCTTGAGCATAATGATTATACTTGTGCCAAAGAATGCATTGAAGAGTTCAAACTTGTTTTTACTAACTGTTATGGTTACAATAAACCAGGAGAGGTTTGTTGTTAAAAATTATAATTTCCTCAAATGTGAAGATGTTTTTATTTCAAATTGCTTCCAAGTATATATTTGTTTTTAGTGTCTGCATTTCAGAATTATGTTGTGTTTAGGACATTGTTATAATGGCAGAAGTTCTTGAAAAGTTTTTTGACGAAAAACTTTCAATGATGCCACCTGAAGAATATGAAATAATCAAAGGGGCGAAAACTGTTGTGAAAGCAGCTACATCCACAAGTGAATCAGGAGAACCTGTTTCAAAAAAATCTAAAATTTCAAAACCTTGTTCTATAGCTGCTGGTTAGTTTTTTGTTCATTTTGTTTTAAGACTTTGAATTTTTAAATAGTAGTTTGAAATATTTTTATCTTCAAAATTTATATTATAATTAGATACAACACAGCCATCTTTGATGTTACCTCTTCCGTTATTACCTTCAGCAACTCTTTCTCTTACTACACCTTCTATAAATAGAACTGAAATGACTAGTCCTCAATCCAATGTCACATCAACAGTGCCTTCTACACCAGTATTGCTCTCCCCTAAAGCTCATATACCTGTAAGTTTTAATTGACGTTTTATGTTTTTATATTTGTTATTCAGTCAATAGTCACCTAGATTTGTTTCTAAATAACCCAGCAGTTTTAGACAGTTAAAAATCTACTAAAGCCTTAAGATTGCTATAAAATATAGTATATAAAAATATACTACATCACATACAAAAATTATAGTGTGGTATTTTATTTATATATGTGTATGTATGTGTGTGTGTGTATATATATATATATATATATATATATATATATATATATATATATATATATATATATATATATATATATATATATATATATATATATATATACATACACAAACAAATATCTTATATGCATACCTAGCTTAGCATAAAATGTTGATGACAACATATTGATATAAGGAGCTTCAGGGACCTCAGTACACACATTTTGTACTGAAGTCCCAGAAGAAAAATTTTTATTACTTAAAAAACAACTAGTATATGTGTGGGATGTCAATTCTGACTCCTACTTCTACCCCTGTATATGTATGTATGTATGTATGTATGTATGTATGTATGTATGTATGTATGTATGTATGTATGTATGTGTATTAGAATTATAACTTCTTAGGTTTAAAAGTAACTAAAAAGTCATTGGTTTTAATTTTTTTATTTTTAAAAAGGTCAGCCTGCATGACACTTTAGTAAGAAAAAAAAGGTCACCCTGCATGACATATTAGTGAAAAACATTTTCTTTAAAAGTATATCAAAGTGTTAGTCTTAAATTAGTAAATGAATGTATTAATCTTTATCTAAGAGTATTAATTTTAAAATTTTACATTAGTTGAATTATTTTTAAATGTTTTCAAAATCTTTTAAAACTTTTTTAAAATTGCATGTCCATGTAACAGCCGTGTTTATATGTGAGTTTGAGATTTAGATTACTTAATTGATGAAGGTTTTATTAATAGTTGAACAACGAACAACGTCAGATAAATTTGGTAAAATTCTACTACATAATTAGTGCAATACCAGCGAGGAAAACAAGAAATTGAAGGTGGATGATCAATTCGACCAGCTAACACATGGAATGCTTTTTCATCCAAAAAAAACAATTGACCAATAATCAATTGTTTTTTTCGCATGGTCATAGTTTTTTTTTTTTTTTTTTTTAGTTTAAAAAAGTTCAGTTGAGACAATGTTCTTAATTATGTACAAAAATTTTGAATAATAATAAAATAAGAGCTTTAATCTCTCAGATACTATTTAAACTGAATATTTAATACTAAGAAGGCGATTGTTATATGAAGTACTACTAATAAAAATTTCACTTATAAAACAAGATTTTTACTTTATATATGTATTAATAATCCTGTTACAGCAAAAAATGTACAAACACACAATTAGTAATTTTAAGTTTATCTTTAAATCGTTTATTCATTTATTTGCAATTTGCGGGAAAAATACGAGACAATAAATAAAAAGATTGCGGAAAAACTTATGAGACAATAAATAAAAAGACAAAAAATAAAAATAAAACAAATTGTTATAAACAAAATAAATGCATTTGAAGGATAAAAAGTTTATGTTTAAATGATAAAAAATTCAATGTTCAAGTTAAATACAGAATTTATTATATTATATATTATAATATTGTTATTAAAATAATTCCTATTAGGCATGTGTTGTCCGGGGGATGTCCATCAGATATCTTACGGACGACGCGTACCTACTTGGTATATTAAATGAAAGTAATTTAAACAAGTGAAGCAAAAAACTTAATAGATTTAGTTTACGTCATGTATAATACTTAACAACGAAGCAAATTAATGTTTTTATTAACATACAATAATTATTAGATAAGATTTTAACAACGATAAATTTAATATATGTTTAAATATATTTTAAGTTGTAGAGTTAACTATATAAAGTTAATGATATATTAATAGTTTTTAATTAATAAATTATTAAAAAAAAAGTTAATTTAATGCAATATTTAAAAAAAAATTGCTTAAACATCTTTTTGCTTTAATGACCCGCTAACAATTAAAGTAGCATATCATAAAACATGGCAAGAAATCATTTTAGAAGGTCAAAATACATATAAAGACAGAAATATTAAAATGAATACATGGAAAGAAATTTCCACATGCTTCAAAGTAGAAAGTATGCTAAAAAAGTAATAATTGCTTTTAGTTAAACATACAGCGTAAACTTATTGCTGCCATTTTTATTGTTGACAACAAAAGTAATGCAAAAGAAATCAAAACAGCCTTTCCTCATAGCAAAAAAATTTGTTTTGCATGAATATTTCATCTTGTGGAAAACAGCCTTAAGAGTGTTATTATTCATCAATATGGAATTATCAATAATATTGCAATTATTATTAGCAGTAAACAATTGGATTTTGTTTGTGTTAGGATTCACCAGCCACTGCAAGCTGTAACAGAAGAAAGATCAGATACTAGATTAACTCAAGATCAGATAGATAGACTAGATTAACTCAAGATTAGATACTAGATTATCTCAAAATTAATTAGCTATTCTTTTTAAATACTAGAGGTAACAAATCAAATGTATCTTCAAAAAACTTCAGGTTTATGCCTCAGCATGGTATAAAGTAAAAAAATCTTCTAGACTCCACGATTCACTGCAACTTATTTGTTCTACTAACACTTAAATAAATAGTCTCCTCTTTATTAGATCTTTATTATATCAGAAAATTTTTTTTTTGAAAATTAACTGTTATACGAATTGCTAGTATATGTTAATAAACATCAGCATTGTAGTTATTAGAGAGCCTGCTACAACATTTTTAAATTTAAAAAATCAAGCATAAAATATGTCAAACTAGAATAATAGATATGTGAAACTATATTTTCCAGATTCTCTTATCACTTCTTGAGTGTAGAATGAGCGGTAAAAGTTCAAAGGTTTTGCAATAAGTTTATTGGTTTAAGAACTGACACAGCTGAATTTTAACTGGAAATATATTTGTTACTGCTATTTTAGTATGATGTCATCAGTGTGCATATTATAAAAATATGAAAGTTTAGTATTTATAAAGCAGAAGTTTTATTGAATAAGGTTTTAAAAAATTTTCTATATTAGTACTAACATTTGGATAGGGAATCAAACCATATGATGTTGCTTGTATAGTCCTTGTATAAATATAAGTTAGGATGGTCTTAAATTTTTTAAAAGAAAAAAGTGTTGATGTATATATTGTAATAAAAAGAATGATTTCTTACAAAAGATAGTTGCAACTTGTTATACCATTGAATATGAAAATATATCATAGTGTTTAGTATTATAGCTGAGTTATATGAAAATATACCATAGCGTATAGTATTATAGTTGAGTTATATGAAAATATACCATAGTGTAATAGTTATAAAGAGCTATAAGATTAAACTATAAAATAATTAATGTTTTGACTTCTTGTTTAATCCTCAGTGTGTTGATCTGATTTTTTTATAGGGTAAATCAGGTGTAAAGAGAAAAAAGGCTGACACTACTACTCCTGGAATGACAATGTTATCTTTAGAAACTACACCTCTTATGGCAGCTAAAATTCCTGCAAGAAGAGAGTCATCTAATCGAACAATTAAAAAACCTACACGAGAACTTCCTGGTGAACAAGAAAATTCTGTAAGTAGTTCTTTTTACATTATTATAGGATATGTTTATTTAGAAATTATTTATAAATATGCATGGTTAAACAAGTCCAACTAGTTGCAATTGTAATAAACTAAAAATTTTGTGTGTGTGTGTATGCTTCAAGGGCGTTGAGAAAGAGAAGGGTGTTAAGGGGGAACAGGGATAGGCATGGAGGATCATACACTTTAATTTTTATTGTATTACAATACAACTTTATTATTTTGATAATATATCATAACATTACATTATTACAATAATATATATCTTATATATCAGGGTGTTAGCCAGCCTAATGTCACCGCATATACCGCAGAATTCTTAATAGGTTTAAAATTCCCAAATTTAAACGACTTTCTTTAATTTTAAGTAATAGGACAATTTCAATTAAAATTCCCAATATTTTATTATATAAAGATTTAATATAAAGATTTATCTTTATATTACTTCTTATTTATTTATCTTTATATTACTTCTTATTAATTTACTTTATATTACTTCTTATTTATTTACTTTATATTACTTCTTATTTATTTACTTTATATTACTTCTTATTTATTTATCTTTATATTACTTCTTATTTACTTTATATTGCTTCTTATTTACTTTATATTACTTCTTATTTATTTATCTTTATATTACTTCTTATTTATTTACTTTATATTACTTCTTATTTACTTTATATTACTTCTTATTTATTTACTTTATATTACTTCTTATTTATTTATCTTTATATTACTTCTTATTTATTTACTTTATATTACTTCTTATTTATTTACTTTATATTACTTCTTATTTATTTACTTTATATTACTTCTTATTTATTTATCTTTATATTACTTCTTATTTATTTACTTTATATTACTTCTTATTTATTTACTTTATATTACTTCTTATTTATTTATCTTTATATTACTTCTTATTTACTTTATATTGCTTCTTATTTACTTTATATTACTTCTTATTTATTTATCTTTATATTACTTCTTATTTATTTACTTTATATTACTTCTTATTTACTTTATATTACTTCTTATTTATTTACTTTATATTACTTCTTATTTATTTATCTTTATATTACTTCTTATTTATTTACTTTATATTACTTCTTATTTATTTACTTTATATTACTTCTTATTTATATTTATATTACTTCTTATTTATTTATTTTTATATTATTTCTTATTTATTTACTTTATATTACTTCTTATTTATTTACTTTATATTACTTCTTATTTCATATCTTTTTTAAAAGCAGCTGACACTAAAAGTGACAATTTTGTATTTCTCAATCTCTTACTAACGGAGTTAACTTTTTTTACTTGTTTTTCAGACAATCCAAAATACTTCAGTTCATGATTTGTGTCATGTGTTGACCATAGGCTCAGTATTTTCTGTTCTTCATGGTTCAGATCTATGGTTTCACTAAATCTTTAATCTTCTGCATAAGATTCTATCATTGTACTTCTTATTATTACCTTCAAGCTGGAATCCCTTTTTTGAGATTTGTTTTTGTGATGGTCCTTGGGCTAATGGCTTTTGTCTCTCCACTGAAAATCGTCTCTTACTAATCTTCTAGATTCAATTTTGCATGGAAGCTTTTAGACCATTTTGTCATTTTTAAGTCAAGCTTTAGTCAGTCTACTCCATTATTTTCTTCTTGTGTAGCTGTTATTTCAAATTTTTTAATTTATTTCTAAGAGCAACTGTCTTAATATCAAATGCTTTTTTATAACACCAAGAAATTGATGCAACAAAGTCTTGTCTGATGCCATCCATTGTTTACAGATTACTATATCTCGCTAACAATTTACCAGAGTGAGTAGTCAAGAAATATTTTATCATCATTCTGCAAGGTTCAATTCTTTTTCTGTAACTGTTATAAACCTTTTGCTCAAAATCTATTTATTTGTCTTATTTCCTTGACCACAATGCTTTAGAATTCTCTTGTCTTCATGGCTTTTCTTGAATTTACAGTTCTTTGCTTTTCCCAACTTAAATAGTGTTAAATTGCAGACTTATTAGGAGTAATTTTTTTTAATGCAAGGTTGAAATATTTGTATAATATTATATGTGGTACTTCTATTATAAAATGTGTTTTGTTCTATTCATTATATGATTACAAAAAAAAATGTTTTTTCTTATGAAAAACACATTTAAAAATTATGTGTTTCTGTTTGAAAAAACATTATTTAAAAAATTTTTAAATAATGTTTTTTCAAATCTTATTCTTTCTATTTTTATTATTTTATTAAATATTATTATAAGTTTTGTTAACTATGCACATAATTTAAAAAAGTTAGAATATAAAAAAAGCTTTTTTGAGAAATAATTAACTCCATATAGATTCTCAAACGAAATACTTTGCAAGATCAGTTGACTGTAGTAAGTATTTTTGTGTAATATGTTGAAGTTTATATATTTAAATATATAGTATGATCACAGAATATTATTATAAATATGTTATTATTTTAAGTTATAACATTACAACAATACTGAAAATTTATATTTTATTAATTTGTTATCTAGCTTCCACTTGGTAAAAAGAAATTTAAACTTACTGAACAACTTAAATACTGCAATATGTTAATCAAGGAAATGCTTTCAAAAAAACATGAAGCCTATGCCTGGCCTTTTTATAAACCAGTGCAGGCAGAGGCTCTTGGTCTTCATGATTATTTTGACATTATAAAAAAACCTATGGATCTTGGAACTGTTAAGGTATAGTAAGAGTCTAATCAAATGTTTTTTTTTTTTTATTTTGTTTTTTTTTGTTTGTGTTTGTGCACATGTATTTTTGTATGTATGTATATATGTATGTATGTATATACACACATGTGTATATATATATATATATATATATATATATATATATATATATATATATATATATATATATATATATATATATATATATAAATGCAAAATCTAGAAAAATATCTGGTTTTCAAAATTTTAGTTTATTAAAACCGTCTTCTTTGTTTTTAAGGGGGGAATAAACATAAATTATAATATTAAAATAAAATTTTTTATTGGTTGGTTTATTAAAATTTACTAAAATTAACGCACCTTTTTACAAACCATTAGTAATGTTTTTCATAATGCTCAACTTTTTATTAAGTACGTTTTTATAAAGTTGTTTAAATGTTTTTGTAAAAGTAGTAACACTATTATAGTGTTATTATTTTTAAAATGGAGTTAGTGACTAGAGTGTTATTACTTTTTTAGTTGTAAGTTTATTGTTTTGTTTTTTATAACTTTTTTGCAAACAAATTCAAGTTGATTTGCCCTTTGAAAACAAAAAACACAGTTTTGCATAAACTAAAATTTTGAAGATCAGATATTTTTCCAGATATCACATTTTGCGATCGCTTAATTCAACCCCGTGCTTTTAGCTATCACTGTATGTATATATATATATATACATATCTACATGATGTATGCATGTAGATATGTATATATATATACATTAAGGTGGAGTGAAAACGTGAAAAATTTTTTTTTTTGATTTGCTTGACTTTGGATAGTTATTAAAACTTGCTCTGTGATACAATCAATTACTCCGTAAAAAAAAAATTAATTTAGGTAACGTCTTGAGGTTCCACAACCAACTTCAAAATTTAACCATTTATAAGCATTTACTATCCGGTATTTTTTTATTGTAGTTCACTTTTATACGTATTCACATGCGTTTTTCCTGTCTAGAGTAAACCAACAGCGTTTATTGCAAAACATTTTATTCATATAAGATAATACTTTAATTCATTTATAATAACAATTCATATTTAATGGCTGTAACCAGGAAAAAAGTATCTTGTGTCATTTTTAATGCTCCCTCTGAAATGCCTGACAATCAACTACCTACTTATGCAGATGTTATGAAGTTTTACAATCTGACAAAACAGAAACTCAAATATGAATTGAACAATAAAGATCCACCACATCACAATGTGGCAGAAATAGTGACAACAAAAGTGGAACAAATATGGGACAAAGCTTCTATACTACATGTAAGCGACCGCCGTGTTAAAGAAATGTTGAACAAGTACCACAAGACGTTCATGAATTTGCTGAAGCCATATAAGTCTAGAAAAGACTCCGGATCATACCGAGAGAAAATATCTCAGTTTAAAAATGAATCCAAAAAACTCTTTGACATTTGCTCCTGCAAGTGTTCTTTCATATCTCAGTGTCAGTGTGAAAAGTCAAGAAAGATACCCGCAATTGAACGTGATTTTCTAGAAGATCAGCGGGGTTCACGAGGTATGGTCATTGCTAAAGTTGATAAGGCTGAATCCATCAAATTGCAAAAACTATATATTCGTAAAGAGTTGACACAGAGGCAGATGTGCAGCAAATCTGACATTGATGACATTAGTGAGAAACAGTCAGATGTTTGTGAGGAGTTTTCTTCTACGGAAAAGAAAACTGATGCTAGCAATGACGAATCTGATGGCGATTGTATGCCAGATCCTAATGAACAATTAAGAAAGTTGAGTGACAAGCAGATGAGAGTTAAGTTACCATCTCTGGCGTTACAAGTGATCGACATGGTGTATCCAACAGGGCCGCAGCAGGAATTGCCAGTGCTGTTCTTCAAGATGTTGGAATAATCCACAAAAGGGATGTTTCTAAAGTGATTGACAGAAGTAAACTGCGAAGAGAGCGTTGTAAAAAACGTGGAACATTATGTGCCAATGCCAGTAACACAATCACTGGGCTCTATTTTGATGGAAGAAAAGACAGTACAATAACCCTTATTAAAGAATGTGATGGGAAATTTCATTGAAAACTAACAACTGAAGAACATATAGCCATTATATCCAAACCAGGATCCATCTATTTTGGCCACATTACACCAATTGCAGGGTCAAGCAAAGTTTTGACCCTGCAATTGGTGTAATGTGGCCAAAATAGATGGCCACATTACACCAATTGCGGCTAAGTTGATTGCATATTTAAGTAAAAAGAATGTTGACCTGGGTGGTATAAAAGCTGTAGGTTGTGACGGAACCGTTGCTAATACAGGCAATCGAGGAGGTATCATTCGATTACTTGAAGTGGCGTTGAACAAACCACTGCAATGGTTCATATGTCAGCTACATGCTAACAAATTACCGTTAAGGCATTTGTTCGAACATCTAGATGGACCTACCAATGGTCCAAAAGGATTTTCTGGTCCAATCGGAAAATCATTGGTTTGAAATAAAAAATACTTCATGTAAAGATGGGGCTCGACATGTCCATAATACAATACTGAAATCACGCTACCTCACAGACGAGCTGAAGAAAGTTGTTGATCCAGTAATTCAACGCAACGCATTTTTTACTCATCCAGAAAACCTGTTGCTTGCGATGCTTACCGACGAAAAATCAGAAATACGCGAGTTGGCTCTGAGACGTATAATGAAATCCAGGAAGCAGAAGCGCACGAGTTCAGTTAGATCTTTCTGTGTGCCAGTAATCAATTTTGAAGCTACCAGTTACATAGACATGATCGATTGGCAAAAAAATCCAATCACAGAGCCTCCAATTGTAATGGACATTGATGACGATACTTTTTTAACCATGATCCGGGAAGAAGATACACCAAGACTGGATTTTGCCCGCTATCCTTGTCACACTCAGTCGGTGGAGAGGCATATTAAGCTAGTTACAGAAGCTTCCCAAGCGGTTTGCGGTCCAGAAAAACGCAACGGATTCATAAGAGCACGTTTGGAATCGAGATCAAAAATGCCGAAACTGGAAACTAAAGCACAACATCATTTGTAGCTATAAAAACATGTTTGACTAGAGTTTTCATGTATTTTTCTTTTCAAATATTTAGTTCTATTTACTTGTAACTTTCGTATAGACTGTTAAAAATGTATACTGCTACACAAATATGTTGTCATATATAAACTTGAAATTTCAAAAAATATTGTTTTTTATTTGAAATATGCCTATAATTCAGGTCAATTGTGGAACCTCAAGATATGCTTTAAATCGTTTGATTGTTTGCCACATTACTAATTGCATATGTCAGCAAATTTTTATAGCTATCCAACCAAGATATTCAAAAAAAAAATTTTTCACTCCACCCTCATATACATACAGTGATAGCTAAAAATATGCACCTTCTCATAATTATTGTAGATAATTGCTTATAAATGCACCTTCTTTTAAACAATTTTTAAGCAAGGACCCAACCTTACTAGCAGCTCTGAGAAAAGCCATGTTATTATAAAATTAATGGTTTTGTAGTAGTTTTGAAATTTGTCTTCATTATCAGTACATATATCAATTTTTTTTCTTTTATAGTTTAAAATGGATTGTAGAGAATATTCTTCGCCCTCTGATTTTGCTACTGATGTAAGACTAATATTTACAAACTGTTATAAATATAATCCACCTGACCACGATGTTGTAAAAATGGCTCGCAAACTTCAGGATGTTTTTGAATATAAATTTGCAAAAATGCCTGATGAACTGTGTTCACCAGTAGCAATATCTGCATCCTCAACAACAAATATTATTAAATCTCGACCATCTAAATCGAAATCTGATTCTGAAGAAGAATCAGATGATAAAGAATCGAGTATTGAATCAGAAGATAGTGAGGCTGAACGTAAACATAAACTTTCTTTACTTGAAGCTCAACTAATATCTGTTCATGAACAATTGTCTAAGCTTACGAAAGTAGAAAAAGAACGTAAAACTGAAAAAAGTTCTACCAAAAAAAGGAAGGACAAGTCAAAAGAACGAAAAACCTCAAAAGATAAAAATAAAGATAAAAAGGACAAAAATGAAATAAAATTAACTGATATGATTAAAAGCAAAAAGAAAGAAAAAACTAAAGATAAAAAACTGCTAGTCACAGATTCATCGTCCCAAGATTCACCCCTCAAAACATTCAATAAAGCTGATAAAAAGAAAGAAATTAAAACCAAAACCTCTGCACCAAAAAAAAAATCTGCATCAGAAAGGTCAAAAAAGAGCAAGTATGTTTTTTTGTTAAATTAATATTTCTCTATTGAGTTATTGTTTATTTATTTTTAACAGTATTTATATATATATATATATAATATTTTAAAAACATGAATGCAGAATAGCAGCAAAAAAAGGTGAGCTTCCTGAAGACAGCGAAGATGAGGAAATCCGAGCAATGACTTATGATGAGAAGCGACAATTAAGCCTTGATATTAATAAGCTGCCAGGTATATTAGTTAAGCCTGATAAAGCATTTAATATTATGTAGTGACTGACTTGGGCTTAATTTTTAATGAGGTTATGGAAGGGTTTGTTAAAAAAAAGCTGATTTAATGTTGATTAACTATATCTTTTTCTGTTTATTTTATAGGATAAAAGTACAAATTTTTTATTAAAAAAAATTCTTATTTTATTTATTATTAAAAGTGATCTTAAATCTTGAAAAATTATTTTAAATTTAAATCCTGAGATTTTTTTTATCTTTTTGTAAAATTTATAAAATAAATTGTTTACTCAAGTTATAATATATAGTAATGAGTAGAAAATTCATACAAATTAACAAGGTTAATTTAAGTTGTTGTTTGTTTTGGGGTGGTCTATAAATTACATTATGCAATTTTTTGTCAATTTCAGACCCTTTCCCCCTCCCCTTTCCTCCCTAGTAACAACTACACAACTCATTGTTAGTTATAACAATATTTATCAATTTTTTTTTTTTAAAGTTTCACACAATAATAATCGATGCATACATAAATTGGCTGATATGGCTGTTGTTGCAGTGTAGTTGCATCTACATATATATCAACTAACTTAAATAGGTTTAGAAGAAGTGGAGTGTGCATACATTCTTTTTTGCACTCCTATAATTTGATATAAAGTTGTATAAATTAACAGTGACTAAACCGACAAACTACCAAAGATAATTTTTGATAAATATAATTTAAATAACCTCTAGGTTAGTGTCGTGGTGCATGTTGCATATATATACTATTATTGTTGTTTAAATAATTATTATATATTACTTTATTTAATGATTATATTATTATTAATTATATTTTTATTGATGATGTTTTGATTTAAGCCCTCAGTTGAATGTACATACATCAAGTGAGGGCTTATGAATTAGGCTAGACACTCTTTTATCAATAGTTTTTCTAGATTTCAACATTATTGCATCACAAAGTTGAATATCCCAATCCCCTGCCCCTTTAACATATCATCGCAAATTTGCTAACCCCACCCCACTCCTCCACCCCTACTGCATAACAATTTGTGGATGACCCTTCAACAAAGTTTAAAGTTCAACCCAGCACCAGGATTTTAATTCCAAAAACAACCATTTTTTCTGAGATCCTAGTTCCTGTGCACTCAGGATTTGATGCATATATATGTCCTTGCCTATAAATTTCTTTCTATTGATAAAAATATAATCTCAAATCATACTATTGCTTATAATTTTTTAAAATTATTTTGATACAATTTACTTAAAAAAATTCTTCCTTTAAAATGTATTTTTTGCAACTTTTTAAAAATGTTTAATACTTATTCTATTTTTATTGATCTGTCAACTGATAATCACATAAAAAATATTCCTAAAAATAAAAGATCTTTGCCCTGATTAACTCCTTAGATTTTTTCTTAAATTGGTTCTTCACATGTTTTTAAAGCTCTGTGTGCTAAAGTAAATAAATTGTTTTTAAAATAATATTATTTAGAAGTTTTCAAAGTAGCCTAAGTAATTTTTATACACAAAAATTTCTTCTGGACTTCTCAAATTTTAGAATTCTCTTGTTTATATAAACTGTTTGAAAAACAATGTTTTGCGAACTCTTAATTGTTTTAGAGAAATTCCTTTAAAGTACTAAATGTCTCTATAATTATGTATTACTATGCCTTTTTAAACCCTTTGTTAATTGATTGAATAGGGTAGCCTCATATAACTAATAGCTAGTAGCCTTGTATAACTAATATTTATGCTAATTGTTTCAGCTCTTTTATTAGGTTGTAGTTGTTTGATATAATCTTATTGTATGTTAACGCAAGGTTTTATACTAAGTTGCTGATGATGGGAGGGCGGGGGAGTGAGTTGTAATGTAATAGTGTTATTGTATCAGTTGCCTTTTTGTATATTGTTAATTCTAACTGTCCATCTAGCTTTATGATAATTGTTATGTCTATAAAATTATTAGAATTGATAAAAGTAAATTTGATTGTGGGGTAGGAGGCAGTCATGAATTCCTAAACTTGTTTTTTCGGAGGCCCATAAAAAATAAAAAATATATCATCTATAAATCGTTTATAAAAAGAAATCCACTCTGAAAATCAGTCAGTTATTTTCTTATCATATTGGTAAAGAAATAAATTTACAAGTACTAGTTTTTTGTAAAAAACGCTAAACAATTCACGGCTTGATAGAAATTTCCGGTGAAGTTTGATAAGCTCTTGACAACAAAGTTTTTGTGTTAAGTGTTGGTTGACTTTTTATGCACTTGAACACACATCATCCTCTTTTACAAACTACGATACTATGTTTTTAAAAGTTTTTTTTCCTACCTTTTAATAGAGCACAACTTACTTAGATTAATAGTATCAATATGGCACCAAATCTTTAAAAAAAGTCTAATAATTAGAATCCTTTTTCTTTATTTCATATAAACACTTTAAATAAGGGATATTAATTTTTTCACTCTTGATGTTATTTGACAGTGAATCCTTATTCTGGGAAAACTAATAATTTTTTACTAATTTTATTATTATATAATACTAAAATCTTTTTCTATTTTGTTCAAATTTTGTATTTATTTTACAATTTAATAGTATTATTTTATAATTAATAGTATTAATAGATTTTACAGTTGATTAATTGTATTTAATAAATAATAGTATTCAATAGTTGATGGGTATTTAGATTTTATTTGTATTTAAATAATTGTATACATTTTGAAAAATTTAAAATAATTTTTTACTTTTAAATCAGTTTATTAAGTTGAAATTTACCACTAAAAAAGTGCTATGGTTTTAACTGCTTTGGGTTTGGAATAAATAAACTTGATTTAACTGTGACCAAAGTCCTACTTGGTTTCTAATATGTTACTAATAGTTACTAATGGTTACTTGGTTTCTACTAATATGTCCATTACAACAGAGATTATAGTTAGACTGGATACTTTAAGTGTAATTGTTTCTATTACATGCTGATTTTTGTAATAAAATTGCTGAATAGTGAAAAAATGTTTAAGTGTAATTGTTTCTGTTACATGCTGATTTTTGTAATAAAATTGCTGAATAGTGAAAAAATGTTTAAGTGTAATTGTTTCTATTACATGCTGATTTTTGTAATAAAATTGCTGAATAGTGAAAAAATGTTTAAGTATGTTTATATTAATATAAGTGTATATATTTTAAATGTGTATGATACATAGTCATGTGTAAACATTTAAAATGAAAATGTAATATTTGTAGGAGATAAACTTGGTAAAGTTGTTCATATTATTCAGTCAAAGGAGCCTAGTTTGAAAGGAAATAATCCTGATGAAATTGAAATAGACTTTGAAACATTAAAGCCTGCGACTCTTCGTGAACTTGAGAAATATGTAAACTCTTGCGTTAAAAAAAAGAAAACAACTCCTATTAAAAAACCAAAATCTGCAGAAGATCGAGGTGCATTGCAAGCGAAAAAAAAAGAAGAATTAGAAAAACGACTTCAAGTATGTATAATTGCACTTTTTTTTTTTTTTTTATACAAGAAATAAAATCAGAAAAAAAATTAACAGAAAAAAACTTTTCAGGATGTTAGCGGTAAACTTCAAGCTGTTACACCCAAAAGTAAACCTAAATCTAAAGGTAAGCATATGTAAATGTACTAAACACACACACCATCTGTGTGCGAGTTATACATGTATACTTTGCAATATATCTAAGGTCAGCACATCATATAAGTAAAACTTTAGTTTGCTGAAAGTGTTGGGCATGAGTATTTCAGCTATTGTTAGTATTGTAAAAGATACTATGTATTTAATTTAGATGTAGTATCTGCTGAGCCTAAGACATCACGCTTATCTGAGAGCAGTACTTCGAGTGGGAGTTCAAGCAGTTCAAGTTCAGATTCTAGCAGTGGCTCCAGCTCTGATAGTAGTTCTGATTCTGAAAATAATGGTAAGTTTTTTGTTTTAAATATTTATTGCTCTTTTTCATTAATACTTATAAGTTAAAATTTTATCTAAATATTTTCTTGTTTTTAGATGGAGAAAAGTTAAAAAAACCACATGTTAAAAAACCCCAAGAAGTATGTTTTTGTTTTAAACTCACATAAATTTGTGCTTAAAAATAATTTTTCATGCTTGTTTATGTTGTTTTTACTTTATTTTAATGTTTTTATTTATGTGATAATATATAATATTTTTTATTATAATACCTAAATCGAGCTGAACGAGCCAAGCTTGCCAGGGCTCGGCTCGTTTACATATTAAGAGTGTTCAGGCTCGGCTCGAGCTCATTTCGAACATGGGGTTCTTTGTTCGAGCTCGGCTCGTTAAGGATTAGTATTGTTTGGGCTCGGCTCGTTTTACATGTTGCTCGAGCTCGACTGGTTTAAAACTCAAAATAATTGTTGTAACCTGTTAGTTTAAAGCTCTTTTAGTAAAAAAAAAATTGTTCGTTAAAGGCTCGTCTGTAAATAATGCAAGTCCAAATCAACAAACAACATAAACAATCCTACAGCCTATTAAACATAACAAATAAACAACATAATGAAATAAGATCCCACAAATCTAATAGTTCAAAATAAAAGTTAAATCTAATAGTTCAATGTTCAAACTTAATGTTCAAAGTTCAAACATAATGTAAACTCTCACAAACAATATATGGGTCATATCTCATATGGTTACACTAACACTATATTTTTATTATATACTAATATATATATATATTACAATTTTATTTATTACATATATATTATTATAATATAAATAAATATATATATATTTAATCGAGCTTTAATCGAGCCTATATGAATGAGCCTATGATGTTTAAGCTCAGCTCGTTTAATAAACGAGCCTAGTTTTTTGTTCAAGCCTGGCTCGTTTATCATTCGAGCTGAACATGAACAAGCTCTTGTCAAGCCGATCACCGAGTCGTCCACGAACATGTGCCAGGATTTACAGCCCTATACCTGAAGTATATATATAATAGGGTGATTCAAAATATCAGTATCACAATTCTAAAAAAATGCTATATTGGAACCCATAAATATGTTCTATATAATAAAATGATACTGGATTAAAAAAATTTCTGAATAAAAATTAGGTAACACAAGTACAGGAATTATCTTTTTCCAGATATTTCCGGATATTTTTTCAACTTTTAGTTTTTCTGGATATATAAAACATTTTGCATAAATACAAGTTTAGGTGTATATTTATGTAATATATTTGTTTTATAAGTTTTTTTACTTGTCACTGATTCGAAAACTATGAAAAGTTAAAAAACAACTCAACTAAAAGCAAAATTAAAAGGAAAATAAAGGAAAACAAATTCCGGATTTTTTCTGGATATTTTATATAAACAATTTTCCAGATTTTCAAAATATGACCTGGATGATGTATGCAAGTAGTAAGTGATTGGGGCCCCTGCAAAATTATAAGATTTAGCAGGGATTGATAGCCAGGGCTAGAAATAAATTTGTAATTTTTTATATATTGTAATTTTATACTTACATTTACTAATTATTAAATTCTGGTGTATATTTATGCCAGTATTTAATAAATAGGGACAGATGCAGTAAAAAGTTGCAACCTGTTGAATAAGATGCCAAGCAAGATTGAGTTTTGGTTTATTGTAATAGAAATGATAGCTCATTTGAGCATGACTATGATTAGAGAAACAGGATAAAAGCTTAAAGCCTGATGATCATCATCATAATCATCATCATCATGTTGATCATATTGATGTTTATGAATATATATACGAAATCAAACATAAATTTTGAAAAAAAAGTACTTTAGGATGTATAAATGTTTATGCAGACCCGGTCCTGGCTATATTTTATCAAACCTGGTCCCGGTCAAATATCAACCCTGGTCACTTACTAAACACAAAATCCTTAAACATCAAGTCTAATATTATCAAAAAAAATGGACCTCAAAAGAAGTTATATAAAAATTTTAAGTTTATATAAAAAGTACTAGTTACTTAAATAAAATTATTAATTTAAATTTTTTCATTTTTTAATGAAAATAAAAAGTACATTTTTTCATAATTTTTTTCAAAGAATTTCTTTAGTTTGTATTTTTATATATTATATATTAAGCATTGTTTATATATTATGTATTGATATATTTTACCATTTAATTTTATACATAAGTTGTTAAAATTATTTATTGTTAAAGTTATTTTTTTGTAGCTTAAGCATAAGAGTATTGGTAATGTAATGGAAGATCTAAAGGATACTGATAAACCACCTGGTAAGGATTATTGTCGGAATCTTTGATCTCAAATTATAATTATTCCAGTTCTATGAGTGTCCATTTTTATTTTATTTTCAAATGTCCCAAATGTAATAATAAAAATATTTTCGGTCATCAATTACAGGAGGTTTAAGCTTCGGTCATCAATTACAGCAGATTTAAGGATGTTTTAGTGTTGAAAATTTATTTCAACAGATTTTATTTTTTTTAGTTTTAAGTAAGTATTTAAGGAACTGGATTCAATTTTGAAAAGTTAACATACTTGCGATTTGGTTTTTTAAAGTCTTGTTGATTATTCCATGACAGTTGATCGCTCATTTTCTAAAGTCAGCAGCATATAACTATTACTGCGACATATAACTATTACCTTAGTGCTGTGGTTTTTTTAATCTTTAAAAAAGAAGGAAAGTTGAGAAACAAGCTAATGTTTAATGTTTAAAATATTTCCAAAAATTGGTGACTGGAAAATATTTTTATCATATTTGTGTTAAATATAAGTAATCAAAAAATATGTGCAAGAAAGTCCATAATCCTAATTGGTTATACCATTGTTTTATACCAAATTGATCTTATCATTGCTTTATACCTAATTGATTATACCATTGTTTTATGCTTAATTGATCTTATCATTGTTTATGGCTTTCATTATCCATTGTTTTTTAAATTGTTTCATTTTTTTAGATATTAAATAATAAGATATGTTTTTTGTTTGTTTTTTTATTTAGCAGTTATTTCCTAGAACAAGATTTTTTTTTTAGCAGTTATGTTATCTCCTAAAACGAATGCTGTTGTCACTAGTAATTCATTTGTTAATATTCCATCGAGACCCGCTCCACTACAAGCAATCTCACAAAATACGCCAAAAACATTAATTTTACCTCAAAACAATTCGAATGTAGTAAAAACTGTAACAAAGCCTACTACTAGTTCAATGTTACAACCTACTTCTAATAATTTACTTGTTGGAGGTTTAAAAACTCAATTTTCTGATATAACACCTAAAATAACAAATAAAACTCCTGTTTCTACGCCTACTTCTAGCTTATCGACTGTTGGTTCTAACGATTCTTCGAAAATATCTTTTGGCATTATTGACGATAGCTTGCTTTCAAAAACTATGCCAAAATCAAAACCTGGTAAGCACTTATTGCAAAATTTGATTTTTTTTTTAAGAATTATTGTCTAGCAGTGAGTTTTTAAATTGCTGAAAGCATAAATAAAAAATTTTTTCTGCAAAAAAAGTAAAAGGTGCTCGGCGCTATTCAAAATAAAAAAAAAGTTTTTGATAGTCATCCTTAGGCCAAAACAGGCCCAAGGAAAAACATAAAATTTTATTTTTCTGGTATTCACATAGTTTTCACGTCCTATTAACAACTTTGCTGAGAAAAACAAATCAATAAGCGTTGTTAAATCCAGGATAGTTAAAACAATTTTCGCATGCAACGTTAACAAAATCTGATTTACTTTATTTTAAATAGATGCAAAGCTGTAATAAAAAAATAGTATAAATAGTATATAAATTGAATATTATTTTTAAAGTTTTTATTCAAGCTTTTTTAAATAGTTATCTTAATAAGTAGCAGTAACGATGTTTTCTTAAATTTTTTTAGAATTATTAAAAACTGTGGTATCCACTGAAAATTCAAAAAATGGCGGTACTCTAAAACATGTTAGTTCTTGGGGTACACCTTTTAATTCAGTTAAGAATGCAACAAAACTTGACCAAACCAACAAAGCTGCCAGTTTCGAGCAATTTCAAAAGTTGGCAAAAGATAAAGAAGATAAAGTATGTGGTTTATGTTTTATTTGTAAGATGCATAGCATTTTTCTAGTTTATCCTTGAAGTTAATTAGATATATGATTTTTTTAGGAAAAAGCGGCTAAAATGGTAGAGGAGCAATTAAAACGTCAAAAAGAACGCGAAGAAATGGATAGGCTGCGCTTGATTGAAGAAAAAAAGAGAGAGAAGGAAGAAGAAGAAGCTTTAGAGCGCGCTAGACGACAACAAGAGGAGAATGACCAAAAAAAGAGAGAGTTAGAAAGAATGAAAGAACAAGAACGAAGAAAAAGACAAGCGGTAGATAAATTACTTTTTTTCCCCAGTTCAGTTTTAGTATATTAAATTTAGTTATTTCATTTTGGAGTTTTTTTTTATTTCCGTTTAGCTTGCTGGCACTATTGATATGACATTACAGAGCGACATTATGGGAGACTTTGAAGCAACGTTATAATTTTCTTACGAAATCAATAAATTCCAAAGATGCGGGGTTTATCATTGTTTTAATCCTGTTGCAGAATTCGGTTTGTAAATATTGTGCAATCTGTTATAAAGAGAACAGCCTCGCTTTCTTTGATCACGGATTTTATTTATGTTGAAAACTCTTGACGTGGCTGTCGTTGAAAATTCTCCAACTTGTTGAAAATATATCCAATTATTTTTTAAATAAAATCTTTTGTGGTTTTTAAATATGAGGCGTGCGCACGAACCTTTTAAATTGTTCGTCTACTAATTCAATTTGTTTCAACATAATTTTGCCTTAAAAATTTGCGTTTTTTAAGTCATAAGTATGCGCTAAAAAAAAACTATATTTATAAGTCATTTAGAAATCATAACAACGAGGACTTTTTTTTTTTCCTGCAGTTGTTAAACGATTTCGGTGTGGCAAGTTTATTATAAAGGACATGAATGTGTAGATATTTTTGAAACTGAAAAGTTTTAAAGTGATATAATTAGCAAAAATTTCTCTTTTTTTTTACCTATAAACTGTCTTGACATATTTTCAATTAAATTTTGTATTTTACAATATTGTTAATATAATAATTTTTATATTTATTATATAGCAGTCTCGGGTCTGGTTTCTTTAAAGTCTCTGCCAGGGTAGTTCACTCGATATCTGCTGCTGTTTAAAAGGGAAGCAAAAAAGGACGAAAAACAAGATCTTGGAGATAAATGTTTACTAAATTACAAATTGAAATGTCAATATAAAAACATTTCGTTTAACACTTCGATATCAATATTTACTATAGAGCTCTTACTTCCATTTAAACCTATATTTTGTCAACTGGCTTATTAAACTACGTTCCTAAAATTTTTGTAATTTTGAGTTTTTTCTTTGAATCAAAGTATTTATAAAATTCAACTAATTTGAAAAGTTTAACTTCTACACTTGTTACGTAACTGTTAGTCAGAAATAAATCGTTTTTTTTATTAGCAAATATTATTTTTATTTCTATCTAAATTCAAACTACTTTAAAACAAAACAGCAATACTAATCTGTAATAGCGCTGTAAATTTCAAGATAGGAACTTTTTAAAAAAAAAAAGAACTAGCCGATTGGCTCGGTATTGGTCAATCCTATTCTTATTTTAGTAATTTGATGTGACTAGGGATGGCAAAAATCCCGGGGTTTCGGAATTGAGAAATTTGTCCCCGGAAATGAATACAAAGGGATCGTCCGTGAATTACGTAACGCAAAATTTCACAATAAAACAAAACAAAAAAATATCAAAATTTTCCCTTTCAGAGTCTTAATTTAAATGAATAATCAAAATAAGAAATTAAGTTCAATAAAAATCGCCGCGTTAAAGAGCTTAATATCTTCTACATCTGTTCTTAAGGGGCAACTACCCTCAAATTTCAAAACAACACAAATAAAGTAACTTTTTCTTTAGTCATATAGTAAATATTATACTGACATTAAAAATATCAAAAAATACATAAAATGGTAGATTGTTGCTATGGTAACTCAAAAAAATAGCTAAAAAACCCACAAAAACTGTGTTTACGCCGTAAAAAAATAAGAATTATGAGTAAAGGAGTGTCAATGAAACTTTGTAAAACTGTTCTAAATACGTAAACTTGTGATATGAGCGAAGCAGATTTTTGAATAAATATTTTTTTTTGATAAAAGGCTACAGTCAAATTAGATTATTAAAAAAAAGGTCAAAATACAAAGAAAAAAACTAAATAACTCAAAATCTTAAGTCATATGAGAAATTCTACTCCGCTCATATCATAAACATTGGTAAAATGAACAATCCCTGAAAATTTCATCACGATCGCATGTATACTTTTCAAGATTTTTTTCCCGGCATGTTTAAAAATTAAATTCTCAGAAAACGCAAAACAAAAAATAAAATCATAAATTATTGCTCATTTCATAAAAATATCTTTAAAAAAATAACTTTTTAAAAGAATATTTCAAAAACTACCAGATTCATAATACTCCTTGGACTTTTTTATTGACTTTTGATGATCATCCTTTGATAATCGTTGACGTCGTAACATCTTTCGTTTCATCTTAAAACTTTCACTCGATTTAAATAATGATAGTTTTATTCGTTTTTTGTTTATGAGTCTGCAACCAGCTAAAGTAAAGTGCCCTGGTTTCATATTTAGTTTTTCATAAATTAAAATGACAGACTTCATACCGATGTTATAATTTGCAACAGCATCGTACACTCCAAACTCTAAACTGGCTAAACCAACATAATTACTTTTTGGTAATCTATCTCATATTAAATTATTAAAACTCTCGTTGCAATTCTGGGTTTTGCCATGAAGACACTTTACTAATTCAGAATCTTTACTTAAATCAGCATATATTGGCTTGATTTTGTGAATAATATCCGCAGGAATTCCTGGTCCAGGCTTGTATATGGAAGTAGACTTAGCTTTATCAATGTTAAACTTACACCAACTATCACCTCCAGTCGGGCAGTAAATATGATAGTTATTTTCCTTAGAAGAAGCTACATGGAAAAGGCTAGCTAATACTGCTTGTTTCATTTTATTCAGATCATTTTTATTGCTCCGGATAGCTACACCAAAAAATTTTTGCAAGCGATCAATAACTGCATTCGTTAGTCGACCACGACCACCTACACCTTTAACATTTTTTTTTAACTTGCGTAAGCGAGTACCGACTCGTTTTTGGTAATGTCCTACACACTCCAACTTTTTTACCTCCATATTTGGCTATATATCTTTGATAGAAAGATGGGATTTACTATCCCCATCACCAAGAAATTGAGTATATCTTAACTTGTGTTTTTTGATGGAGCGTTTAAAAACTCTCACTGCGCCAACTGATTCCATACCACCAGCTGTACCTTGATAATTGTACAGGCAAATATGTTTTTTTTTCCAATTATGTTTGTTTTTCCAATGCATCAGGATTTGATTTTTTTAATTGTTCTTTTATACAGCAAGCTTTACATGATTTATTCATAGGTTCAACATCGATTATTTTTCCACTTTCTATTAAAAGTGCAGTAAAAACTCCATTCATTGACTGATATCCTCTTTTCTGCCATGATCCATCGCATGATACACCAACATCAACAATGTCCTCACTAGTTGTATTTTCTTTCATTTCAGTTGCAGCATCTGACAATGTTTCGTTTGCAACCCTTTTCACTATGTTTTTTATTTTAGTTGTAATTTTTGAATAGTTTTTGGGTGTCATGGGTTTTGGCATATTCATGAGCTGAGTAAACTTTTCAATGCCAGTATGACCATGGCCTAAGACTCTCATTGTATATATTGTCCTGTTGTTAATATCAAACCCTTTATCACAAGCAACTGATGTATAAAATTCATGTTTATAGTCACAAGATAGTGTAGTACACTTTAAATATAGCAACGTTGCTAGACCTTTCTTTTTTTTCTGATGATCACCTAAGTACAGTGCACACTTTTCACATTGAGGACACATTAACAATGAAAGAACTTTAGATAAAATTTCAGTGTCTATAATTCTGTAACCAGTAATTCTTTTAATGTTTTTACTTGGTACATTTGTAACAACTTTTACTTTTTTAGCTGATGCGCCTAAAATATTTCTTTCGTTAGAGTCACATTCACTTACATTACATGCATTTTTATTTTTCTTTACCATAAATCCTCTTCTTTTTTTGTAGTAATTTGTTCTCTGCATTACTCTATCATTAATATTTCTGTTCAAAATAACACCCAAATCAGTAGGTTTTGTCATATTTTTTAATTTCTGCTGTTATATAAATTAGCTTTGATAACTTGATAAAATCGTATTTAAGTAGCAATTGTAAATGGCCTATATTTGAATATAATAAGGAACAGAATATTAATTAGCAAAGAAGATATAAATCAAAGCATATATTTGAAACAGTACTCCAGGATAAGTTCACAAACAAAATATTCACCCCCATAGCAACGCGTTGCTATGCAAATATTTTTTACTTGAGTTCAAAAAAACATAAATTAAACAAAAACTTATAAAAAAATGTTTGATTTTTTTTGCAGATTCAAAATCTGCATAAAATTTTGGTCTAAAATTATTAAAAAAAAAAAATCAAATTTTTAAAAAAATGTGAGGGTAGTTGCCCCTTAAAATATTTTTTGCGTTGCGTAATTTATGGACGATCCCAAACGCAATTGAATACTTTTTAAGCACTCATGAAACAATTAAAAAATGATTAATTTAATGATAATATAGCTAAAAATTCGATATATTAATGAACCTTTAAAATTAAGTTGAACCATGTTTTATCTTAATTTTGTATTAAATCTAAGACTTAAAAAGTAATAAACCTAAGAATTATAAATTATAAAACAATACCTTAAAATGATAACACAGTATAAATAAAAATTAAAAAATAATATAAATATGTTAAAAATGACGTTAAAGAAACACTTTCGTAAATCATAAATCATTTTCATAAATAAAATTTTCATAAATCATTTTTTATAAATCATTTTCATAAATCATTTTTCATAATCATTTTTCATAAATCATTTTCATAAATCATTTTTTATAAATCATTTTTCATAAATCATTTTCATAAATCATTTTTCATAAATCACGCATTTTCATTAATAAAATTTTCATAAATTAAAATAAATGAATATAAAAATGGATTTAAAATCGCGCATACTTTCGGAAGCAGAAAATATTCTATATTAATACTTTAATATACTATATATTATATATACTACTAATATACTATATATTATATATACTATTTTAATATACTATATATTATATATAGTATAATATCAAAACTAGTATATTATAAAAAATATCAAAAATATAAGCGCTTGCTGGTGGAAGGAGAAAGAGTTTTTAATAAAAGTTATACATTAATTTTATTTTATTAAATATTTTGAATTTTAATTATGTGTATATATATACATATATATATATATACATATATATATATATATATATATATATATATATATATATATATATATATATATATATATATATATATATATATATATATATATATATATATATATATACATTTTGCAGACAAGCAATAATGTTTTGAGTTTGTTTTTTCAAACGTGTTATAGTTCAGGATTACAAGAAAAAGAAGTAGATAAAAACTAGTTTATAGCAATTTTGAAGAATTTCTTTAAAAAATTGAAGGAGTTTCATCTTCTAAGTGGATTTTAGAAATTTCTAAAAACTTTAAATGTGGCATTTAAAGTCAGTGATGAAAAACATTTCATACCACAATTTGAGCTACATGTAGATGAGTGTCTAGCTTATACTATTCGAGCTTATGGTTGGCTTTTACCGAGATACCCATCAAGTTTATAAGAGTAATTTACGATCTGTAAAATACACCATAGTATCACATTTTCTCAATCATATCCAAAGTTGCTATCTGTGCAATGGAGTATCATCAAATGAAATAGAAAAATTTTCGCTTGTAAAAAAACATGTTGTTAGCAAACTATTTTCAATTGAT